CATTTTCATTGAGTTTCAAGCTTTGCTAGAACTAGATTATTCTTTAAACAAAAATGTGAGGTAAATTTAACAGGTTTATTACCGATTTCTAGTGTCATTCAGGAGCTTAGTTTTATTTTTTATGTGTAGTATTGATTATTTAATTTTTTTCTAATTTCGTGACAAAAGCAGAAATTTTATTTGGGAAAAAAGACTCTTCTTTACATGAAAATAAAATAATTACCTTTAAGTAGCTATATTATGATAACAAATTGAAAGCACTGATCATAAATGTATTGATAAGAAATGTTGCTTTACATTTTGAGATACAGGGCTTAAAAGATGAGCAAAGTTAGAATACAGTACTGGAAGGACCCTCTATCATCCAAATTTTTATATTTCCTTTGGGTGTTTGATTATTTTCTTATTATTTTCCTTTCAAAATATATGGAAATGCCTTTAATCAGTACTGCAAAGAAAATGGTGTACAAGATGTAACAGCTGCATCATAATAGTCGCTAGTGAGTTAATATAACTTCTTTCCTAAGTGAAGATATAGTAGCGTAATAACTCTAGAATTACAAAAAAATTAAGAGAAAGGTCAAGGATAAATAAAGGTAAGAAAATCACATGTAAAAGCTCAGGGTTACTGAGAAAGTTTCCCTGTCAGTCTCTTCATAGTAACAGATTTGAAGATTAGAAGACTTAAGAGACTTTAAATCATTAAAATAATATCATATCAGAGTACTAACTAAATGTGATATCACAGTGTCACCATGCATATGATTCATCACCCTTACAGATGAAATAGTTATTAGACTTACTTATGATACTAATTTCATCATAAAACTTTTTGAGGGCATTGCCAACATGTTAACTTTCACATTCATCCATAACATATGTTCACAAAGTTTTTTTATTGTTTCATCTAATTTTTAACCATTGGATGTGCATGGCATGATTACATGCCAAGTCCAATATAATATTAGTTTATTGATTGTGTTTGCACTGAGGTAACTCCACAACTGCTGGGTCATCAAGGAGTCAATTACTAGTTCTACATATCTTACCTGTTTACACTTTACTTAATTGCCGGAAAGATTCCTTTATATTTTTTACTGTTTTCTTTGCTATTGATATTTTAATAACATTATAATAATTACAATTTCAATAACCATATGAGTAATAGCATTAGAAAAAAAAATCTTGCAAATTCAGGGAATGGGGAAATCAGGTGCAGTAACTAGAGCCAAATAATTGACTCTTTGGTGGTTGAGCACATGTGGAGCCTTTTGTGTGAAATATAATTCACAAAAGACTATAGTGGGCAGTACATAAACTTTAACAGTTAAACATTACTTAACCTTTTCATGTTTTTAAAATGTATAGGAAACAGTGACTTAATGTCAGCATTTAAAATTATTTTTGATATGCTCTTTTCCTTTATATATGTATATAAATTTTTTTTTTGTTTACTTTCATAACCTTATGTTCATTTAAGATAAGTACTGGATAAATTGGCTCCTGAACTAAAGTATGTCATTCTAATTTGGCTACCAAGGGGATGGATCCTGTGTGCTGGTCCGTGCATTGGAGCCAGTAGAAGGAATGTCAATTATGGCAGTTGGGAGGAACCAGAGACGAAAGAACACAACTCCTCTAAAAACACATCAGCTCTGTAATGGCCCCTCTAAACTTTGTCAAGCACTTGACATGACCAAGGTAAGGAAATAGTATCCAGGGTGATACAATATGGTTTGAAATTGTTATCATTGTATTTACAAGTATTATTACAATTTTTAATATTTGCTCCTATCAGTGACACTGACTATAAACTCTAAAATTAAGTGATGTGTATGTCACTGTGTCCTTATTTAATTTCCAGGATTCCTGTAACAAGTTGGATCTCTCAACATCAAATGTTCTTTGGCTAGAGGCTGGCACATCTATTCCTGAAAGTCAGGTGGTTATTGGAAAAAGGATTGGCATTGAATCAGCTGGTGAAGAATGGGCTAATAAACCTCTTCGCTTCTATGTTGCAGATAATAAGTTTGTCAGTGTCTATGAAAAGAAAAAAAGCAAACCAGTCTAGTACTTCATAAATTCTTGATATCATGTTGTAGAATATTTGTCCACCACTGTTTTTGTTGAGAAGGATTTTTTTATGATGATATTCTCTGTGCTTTTCATATATATGTCCTATAACGTCATTTAGACATGTTATGATTTTCCAGTAATGCAATCATATATGAAGGTATGCCCATCAAAAGGGGTTCTCAAACATAATGCCCGAAAAAACTTTATTATTATTATTATTTTTTTTTTTTTTTTTTTTCCCCCCCAAATTTCATCTGTAACATAACCACTGATATATTCACCTGAATGCACTACCATCATGAGATTGCATTAATGTGAATATATTTATGTCTATGTTATAGTTGAAATTTTGAATACCAAAAAACTTAATAGATGTATTTTGGCAAGAATACCTTTGGATGCACATATCCGCATATAAAGTAATAATTGAAGCTTCACTGTTATGATTTTTATTTCTGAATATCAGTATTTGGATTTGGATTTAGCATGTTGCCTTTAATAATTAAAGGAAATAATCTGTAAAGAATATAATTTGCCAAATGTTTATGTTGTTTAAAAGACTGCCTGCAGGGTCACATTTCATTGCAAGTTTGTTGAAACCCACTTTGTGAATTTCATTAATTTGTAAATTTTCTCTCTATAACTAAAAGACTAAGATTTGACATTTTTAGGCACACTTGTAGCTAGAGTGCCTTTGTCTATTGATTTATAATCTTTGTTTTTTTATTAATATTCCTCATACACAAGAAAAATTATGGGTGAATGACCACTTTACCAGCTTCTTATATAACAAAAAAATAATCACCTAATCACATTGGTTACTATAAAGTGCAGATTTTTTTATTTACTTATTTAAGAATTAGATATATGTCTTCCTTTCTCTTCCTAATTTTTAATATCTTCTAAAAACAAGAGATAAAAGTGTTTAACAACAAGAATCTTAAATACTTTACAATTTCAGAAAAATAGAGAATTTAGAGGTGTAGATTATCATGTCAATAGTAACCAATATAAATTCTTATCTTTAGATCAGAATTTTTGTCCTATTTCTTGATTTTTTAACATATTTGGTAAATGCAAAGGTAAATATTGTTAAAATATTCTTTTAGATATCCAGTGTAAAAAAGGCTACAAAAAATTATAACCTAAAATTCCAAGGCATACTATTGCAGTAGTTACATTAAGTTTTCGGTTGCATTATGGAAGAATAACCTTCTCTTGTTTGGATATATAATGCTCTTAGATTATTGAAAAAATACCTTTTGAAGAGTAACCTAATCTGTCAGACTAGCATGCCTGTCTCTGCTGAATTTTGCACTAATTTTGTAATGTGGTTATGCATCTCTTGTCTATAAATCCACAGAGTCAATAAAACTGCTTTATAATAAACATGAAAGAAGATTTACTAAATATGTTATGGTCACAGTTAGATATGTATGTTAATTTTATTTAAAACCAGGTCTTTGCATGTACCATGTAATCGTTATTACTTTCATATAATGTTAGAGTGATGGTTTCAGCAGATTTAAAGACTATAGTTTTCTTTTTATTCTCAGGTCACAGTCTCAAAACACAACTTGATTTACAAATATTTAATAAAATAAATACTGCACAAAAAATTAAATGTTTATTTAAATACAATACTGGCAAGATACAGTAACACTGGCACCTAGACCCACTTTGTTACCTTCAACCCATCAGACTTCTTTATATCCTTCCTCTGTCTAGAAAAATATTGATTTGAGTGGGCTAGGAGAACTTACAACTCAGTGACTCTCAAGGAAAGTCTAAAATTAATGTTTTTCCAGTATTATATTTACCATGGGGAAAAAAATCCATTTGATATACAGAAAAAATTGCATTAATACAAGTAAGAAGAAAAAAGAAGACATTAATACAAATGAAAAGACAAAAAAGACATTATAGTTCATTCAGCCCAAATAAGATAACAAAAATATATTTCTTTGTAGTCCCATCATGCAAAATGATACACTACTATTAAATCTACCTTCGTTCAGATCCTTCACAGTCATTTAAAGTATAAAATAATTCTTGAAGGTATTTTATGTTTATAGTCTGAGGCACTGATACCATATAATATTGGATTTAGAATCAAAATATGATACATACTGAATTGTATCAAAAACATATTAACATAGTAGCCATGACTGATCTTGGATTGTTCTTAAACTTCATACAATGATATATGAATTTGAAATGGATATATTTTTGCAACTTGAGGATGAATTGAACAAGTCAACTCCATGACAATTCTCCTTACTTTTCCATCCACATATCTTACCAGTGATTTGGTTTGTGATTAGGTTGTAATAATTAAAGTTTACAATGGTTATTGAAGCATGTTTTCTCTGATCTTACTTCCTTTGGAGCTGTATTGTGCCACTGACATTAATGGGTTCTAGAGTTGCCTTTGGTAACTAAAAAAAAAAAAAAAAAAAAAAAAAAAAAAAAAAAAAAAAAAAAAAAAAAAAAAAAAAAAAAAAAAAAAAAAAAAAAAAAAAGCAGCAGCAGCAGCAGCAGCAGCAGCAGCAGCAGCAGCAGCAGCTCATGTAGAAGCCATTCATACTTCCAGTGTCCATCAAATGATAGGTAATATAGATATTACTGAGATGTTATTAATGCAATAAGAGATATTACGGTATATAGTTAAAACAAATTTTAGAGAGCACACCTGTTTTAGCTCTATTGGCAAAAACCTTAATCAGGGATATGGTCCTACCATTCACAAGATAGTATATCCATAACTGTCTTGTTTTACTGATATGTCAAAGTTGGGAGACAACTACAACTTGGAAGTGAGTCATACATCTGACTATGCATGTGAAAGACATTTACAGAACAATGATGGTAACAGACATCCCCATTCCAGGCACACTTAATCTGATTTTTTTTTTTTTTTTATGAATTAATTAATTTTTAAAGTACAGATTTTACAAATCAATGATATACACTTTGGACGGTAGGCACGGTACAGTTCTATCAATAAAGATTATGAACTCTGTATTATTATATAAGATTATAAACAAAAAATTGACACATACATGACAATGGGCAAGATGACTTCTTGGATTAACATCAACACCTGACTCTCTAAACCCTTAATCACTGATTATGACTAGATAATTGCATTGTAATTGTACACATAACATTTGCTATTTCTATTCAGAACTCTACCCATCTTTCTTTGAAGGGAATTGAACCCATGTTGACACAACCTGGTTCTGGTAAACCCAGTCCTTAATCAGACTAATAACATATGCCAAGATCACTAAGACAGCAAAATATTGTATCCATGCCCATTTAAGCACATACCAAAACCCAGGAATATACAAAACAGTTTGTTCTGGGTACTGCACAACCAAATTTATGGTAAATGAATCACTCTGTCCTGTCTGCCAGCTGGTGTACAAGTTGGTAAATCTGGTCGTAACTGAAAATAGTAATTAGCGTCAGAAATCACAGTACAAAAATTATAGCACACATTCCATTATTGCATCACAATATGTCACATGACCAATACCTTTTCTATTCTTTTTAAGAAAGTTAGACTAGGAACAAATGATCAATTTTCCCTTCATAGCAAATAGGGTAAAGGTAAATTAATAAGCAAAATATGAATATGAATGATTTTTACATTATGCATTATAATAAATTAATATCTTCTTAAGATATAGCTACAAATTTCCACGATAGTACCTCAATTATTTACAATTATCTGTTTACAAAGGAAACAAAACCTTACTATTTCTTTTCCAGTAACTGGAGAAAATTTCCTGAAATCTCCAGCTTCTTGTGTCAGAGACGGATGATGGCAGTATGGATGCGTTATATAAAGCATGTATGCCAGAGGGAGGAAGAGGCTGACGTTGGTGCAGGGCTAGGTCAGTTGTGACATGAAAAGCTGACACGGGAACTCCACTAGTATGCTGAAACAGTCCTGCACCCTCCATTATCAACTCACACATGTGCTGTGGAAAAAAAATAATTATTATAGTATAGAATGACAGAGTTAAAGAGAGCTAAGACTCCAAAATACACAGGGGGAAAAAAAATATTTTCCTTTTCTTATTCACTTGATGTAGAATAAATATGAGTATGAAGTTACACACCAAAGCTTTAATTGCTACAATTGTTGAAGCCCTACTGGCTCTATTGCAAAATATACAAACTATTCTTATATACTTGTCAAATAACATTCATGTGTATCCCATTACATAATAAATAAGGGTCATCAGTACAAGACTGTCCCTATATTCATTTGCAAAGATATGATACAATAATTACATGTAGTCTGTAGTCAAATGTCAGCAACAGTGTGGTGCCATAAACCAACTCATTGCTCAGTAAAGGAATATTCAAGCTGAAGACTAGTCTATCATTCACACCGTCATGGTTTTCATCCTCTTCATATGACTGAAAGAAAATCAGAAAGTAACAAATTAATATTCATAAAAGTTTACTGCCAAAATTTTATCAATGTTTAAGCTCTGACCATAAAAAGATGCTTTCTGTCTATAAATCATTCTTTTAAAAGAAAAAGCTAAACACTGGATAACTAAACATACTCCTGTTGTGTGTTATTCACTTCTAACAAGAAATAAAGATAATAACTTTTCTGTTAAAACTAAGAATGTTGATACATTATATATGTAGGAATTATTTATACTGTGTAAAAAAAATCCAGAACAATTTGCCATATACTTCAGGAAATATAGCATTGGACTTACAAATAACTTTCATTTCTTCAATTAGTTTACAGTTTGATATGGACTACCTGCTCATATCATTATCATCTATGGCATGTCTTACATAATTCTTATCATACTTTAAAATACCATATACTACAATTCACATGTGCATTGAAGTATATGGTGAATTGTATTTCAGAATAATTGTTGTTAAAAACAATAATCAGTATTCTCACCTTTACTAATGGAATACGTAAATAATTTCCCATGAGATTATTAAATGAGGGCTGGGTAGACCACACAAGAGGGCCTGAAGCTGTGTCACTGACAATGAGGACTTGGTGCTTGAAGTGGACATCTGCCTGTTCTCTATATTCTGCATGTTTTATCCACAAGCCTGTAGAATAAATTAATGATAATCTAGAACTAAAGAACTAATTAATCTAAATTCTAAATAAATGTACAAGAAGCAGAAACAGTGTTGAGGAAAATGAATGTGTTATATATGCCTGTCTGAGTTCAGTTTAAGCTGAGCTCTCAGGTAGTATTTGAGCAAACAACATCCAAAGCTCCCAGGCCAAGTACTAGTTTAAGAACTAGTGGACGTGTGAAAGCATGTGTTACAATTGGGGGAGGTACAGACAGAAAAGTGTATATGCGTGCATGCATGAGAGAGAGAGAGAGAGAGAGAGAGAGAGAGAGAGAGAGAGAGAGAGAGAGAGAGAGAGAGAGAAGGAGAGAGAGAGAGAGAGAGAGAGAGAGAGAGAGAGAGAGAAGAGAGAGAGAGAGAGAGGAGAGAAGAGAGAGAGAGAGAGAGAGAGAGAGAGAGAGAGAGAGAGAGAGAGAGAAGAGAGAGAGAGAGAGAGAGAGAGAGAGAGAAGAGAGAGGAGAGAAGATATATATTGCTCTTATAAATTGCAGGATGTCGAGTTCATGCTCAGGGTCTATGAAGTCCTTATAATTACATTAGCAACTACAGGCTCCTTAAATGTAAAGGGATAATTTACTCTTCGCGGTTAAAATAAGAAAATGTTAATGATGATATATAAAAATACAGGGAAATCCTTGACAGAACTATCAAATAAATATTTGATTTACAAAATTGATTTACTATATTTCATAAAATCTTTAATGTTAATTTGAATCATTTAAATAAACTGTATCACCTACAGTGACTTGGGATTTAGCCGTAAGGTGTAAGGATTTAGTTAAAGCAAACTTACATAATATTGTTTAGTATTAAAACATTGAATTCTTGACTTCATATTCCATAATTTACTGTATATCAGCCGAAACGTCATTCTATCCATTCCTGAGTCATAAGTATTGCCAATTATTCAGAATAGTGGCTCATAACGGATCAAAATCAATGGATTCTTCTCACTTTCTAGTTTCCAAAGATATAGAAATAATTGCACAGAAACCCCCTCAAATCCCCACATCCTTGACCCAAATAGCAAGGGAGGCTATGAAATTGCAGAATCCATTACTATAATGTCTAAAGCAAAGGACTGTGCCCCCTATGACTCCCCTATCAGTAGGCTACTGCCCCTAACCCCTGCCCAAAGAAAAACAAGGAATCCTCACATATTCACAGCAGGAGAGAGCTTTGGACAGACTCAGTCTCAGGCACTCCCACATGTCAGTTTTATGCTCTCTCTGCTGTGAATGCAGTGAGAATTCTTTTTGTTCTACTGTGGGGATTGTTGGGCGGCAGCCTCAATGGAGTGGTCACAGGGGGCACAACCCCCTGCATTTGACAATAAAGTGACTGGTTCTTTACATATTAGTCATATCTTACCCCGCAATTTCCCAGATACCTTCCATGTCGTCCTCTGCTATTGGAACCAAGATTGTCACAATAATTTCTATATATTTGGAAACTAGAGTGCGAGTAATTCACTGATACTATAATCGTCACAATCCATGACGAGTCGCTATTCTGAATAATTACCCAAGAACCTTGTGAAACTTGAAAAGATTACACAAATAAGTAAATAATCTCTCTTGGCCATCTTCGTATTTGGTTGGCAGTCTAATTCATAAACGAAATAAAGGAGATTTCGTCTGCATTGTCAGAGAAAACTTCACCATATTATCACTGTAGCTGTAACTCACCCTGGGTGCGATACACAATCAAGAAAGGCGAAATAACTGTTAACGAGATGCAGAGAATTAAGAACAATGTAGCTTTTGAACATACACTGGTCTTATGTAACAACGACCAGTGGACGCCTATAAACATCGTACAAAACCATTGCTGTCTGCAGCGGAATTTGTATTGGGTTTGTTTACATATCTGTTACGTTCAAGAATAAATGAATTTTGACAATCAGTGAAATATGTAATTGTGTGGTTTATCGTATTTTGAAAAGGCAATCAGAAATCAATGCATTATTTTTTTCGAAAATTATCATAATATTGTAATACCCAAGAAATGATCGATTTTTCTTACAAATATGGCGGTATAATTTGAGTGGGGATGAGGGGAAAGAAGAGAGAGAGAGAGAGAGAGAGAGAGAGAGAGGAGAGAGAGAGAGAGAGAGAGAGAGAGAGAGAGAGAGAGAGAGAGAGAGAGAGAGAGAGAGAGAGAGAGAGAGAGAGAGAGAGAGAGAGGAGAGAGAGAGAGGAGAGAGAGAGAGAGAGAGAGAAGGAGAGAAGAGAGAGAGAGAAGAGAAGAGAGAGAGAGAGAGAGGAGAGGAGGAAGAGAGAGAGAGGAGAGAGAGAGGAGAGAGAGAGAGGAGAGAGGAGAGGAAGAGAGAGAGAGGAGGAGAGAGAGGAGGGAGGGAGAGAGAGGAGAGGAGAGAGGAGAGAGAGGAGAGAGAGGAGAGAGAGAGAGAGAGAGAGAGAGAGAGAGAGAGAGAGAGAGAGACAGACAGACAGACAGACAGACAGACAGACAGACAGACAGACAGACAGACAGATAAACAGATATACACACAGACATATAGACAAGACAGACAATACAGACAGGTAATTGTTTCCGTAAAGTGTGACCAATGAAGAAGTACCAGAATATGAAGAGATAAAATGAGAGAGATAGAAAAAAAAAATGGCGGAGTTTTCTGTGTGGATTAACGAAGTAGGTATATTTGCGGATTAGAAAATAAGGTCTAATTCCTGCACAGAAAGTGAGAAGTTGAACTGGCGGATGACATAATCTGCACGGCGATGGATCTAAAATACATATAGCATCTGAATTATCTCTGTAAAAAGATACAAGCTTGCATAGTGACAAACGAAAATGTCATGACTAAAAAATACGCTCGAAATTAAGAGCGATCTTATAGAGGTAATTCTATGAATGAATGTAGTATTAAGACCTACGAGAACTTGGGAACGGAGTGCTATGCCAGACCTTAGGTTAAAGAATTATGTCGGAGTCTTGGAACTATTACGGAAGATACATGACATGAAAAAAGTTTATGAAAAGATAATAAAAAGGACTCGTCGAGGGTAATAGAGCTGTGAACAATACTTGCGTCCAGATATAAGGAATGAGTAACAAGAAGAAATGAAGACGACTGAGTGTTTTGAACAATATTTGTGTTCAGATATAAGGCATGAGTAAAAAGAAATGAAGATGACTGAGTGTTCTGAACAATACTTGCGTCCAGATATAAGGAATGAGTAACAAAAAAATGAGATAAATGAGTGTTTTGATACTAAGATGGATAGTGTACAGCAAAGTGCAGCTCTTCCATGGTTTACAGCAAGGAATATATATCGAAAGTTCCTCAACTGGTTGGGACAATCTTGGAAAAGAATGGGAAATTATTCAGACAGACTATTATTCTGTAGAAAACGATTTGAGTTAGCAGCATCTAACAAAAGAAGACATAAAAAAAAGGAATATTGGAGTTGCAACACAGTATTCGCGATAGCTTGAGCGAAAAAAGAAAGATTTTTATTAGCACGCGAGATGGCCCGCATCAGTCAAAATATGAATCTTGTAATTCTCTAAATTATACAGACCAGCTTGTGAGGCTTGTACAGCGCTTCCAAAGCAACTCTATTTGCCCCCTTCTGATCTAAACATAAGATTGTCTACACCAAATGTTATCAATTTTAACTTTTCATAATTATTGTATCTTATAAATGGCCATATCAAAAATAAATTTCCCCAAGACATTGTATTGCCGTGGTGTAGGAACAATTATCATCTATGTCATTATCGAAAGATTTCTCAACTATCATAGTTTCCCTTGAACGAAGGAAAGTTTTCTTTGTAAGAGTTCCAGTAATTGGAAAGTTGAATTATCATGATATTTACTTTCATCCTGACATGTATTTCGTTTCCGTTATTTATTCATTGATTCAATACGTGATTATAACAATGCAATTAATTTATCATATGAAAAATCACTGTTTCAGCGGCAATACATGCACGCAAATAAATCAGGTTTTTACGCAATAATTACGCAAAATCTAGTCTACATGAAAGATGCAAATTTCTAAAAGATATACATATTAAAAATCAGTTAACTCATGGGGCTAAAATATTGAAAAAGTAACAAAATCAGTCATTGTTTATACCTTTTACAAGACTGTTCTCTCGCCCCCTGGATTCACGTCGTCGAGCTCGACAGCAAGACGTTCCTCATCTCTCTTCGCCGCCACACCGTAAACATGAAGGCGTCAGGCACGGTATGTTTTTCGATGTTGACGGCGATTATAGTATTCTCAAGTGATTTTGAATCGCTCTTGAGGACGGAAGAAAGGAATACAATGCGTATGTGTAGTGATCCAGTAGGGATTTGTGAAATATAAGATAAAAATTGTTTTGAAAAAAAGTTGAGTGTTTGGTGGTATTCTGAATAACGTGTTCGGAAGTGTTTTTAATATTTGATACCGTGGATTATATGAAGCTGGTTTATGCTGCCATTAGTGTGCGGATATACAATTGGAAACAACAAGCCTCCATCTTATTCGAAAGTTAAGGATGGTGATAATTGGACAATTGGATATTTACTGATGAAAATTATGATGTTGATTCGGTAAATGTGAGAATTGCCGCTGTGGATGTCGAACCCATCCGTTTCATTTTAAATTTACACGTTTTAGGTGATGTGCACTACAGTAGCAAAGTGCTGTAATCATTAAGTATGAGTATGCTCTCTTGACGAAATGAAAAATAATAAAGAAAAATAAAACTTAGTTAAAAATGTCTCCCAGATTGGCACTCGAAAACTTTGGGTATCCGTAACCTACAAGAACTTGTTTATAATTCCGTGAAGTATTAATATAACAAACTAGTCTATGCCTACTACATTTTTTTTATATTATTGATATTTATGCTAGGTTGTGCATTGTGGGTTTTTCTACCATAGTATCAACACGGTAGTGTTTTTCCATTCTTGTACTTCCCGACGTCAAGGTTGCTTAGGCGTATGAGCCAAGGTTTCGCACTGTATTTCTGGTTAGAATGAATGATTTTACGCAGCAAAACATGTCAAAAAAAAAAAAAAAAAAAAAAAAAATTGTTTTTGTTGAAACTATGGGAAAGAAACATGTTTCACCTATGCAAGTACGGTCTGCAATTGAGGTTGAATCTGGGTTTATTTTTAGCATGATTGCCGCACAATACAAATGCAGGTAACTTTCTATATTACCTTCGCCTCTGATATCAACGATTTTGGTATCGTTGGATTCCTCTCAATCTTTACAATCCAAATATGCAGGTTTTAATGCGTGGAAACCCCCCATTAGGGGCAAACTTGGCTCCGATAGCAGGGGCGACAATGTCGGAGCGGCGGGTGTAATATAGAAAATTACCCTAATATAACCCACAGCAAAAATAACTATGGTTATTCACATGACTTTCCACTGTAGGGGGCTATGCCCCCTGAGACTCTCCCTGAGGGGGGCTGCCGCCCCCAACCCCCGCCGAGCACACAAAATATCCCCACATACTCACCGCAGGATAGAGCGCACACGAACTAGATGCATTAATAAAGGCGCAAAACCAGTCGACCCAACGAGGGCGGGTCACCGCCGCTCTTCTGTTCATGGTATACCTTGTTCATCCTGATTATACTACAATCGTATCTGTATACAATGTTGACTATGGCAAGGTCAGTATGCTGATTCAGTGGAATGTTACAAGGTAAATGTAATATGTCCGCTGCTCCGAGATCGCCAATAACTGTGTAACGCTCTAGCCTGCCGTGAATACGTGGTGGAGGTTTTGTTTCCTCGGCGGGGGTTTGGGGCGGCAGCCCCCTGCAATGGAAAGTCATGTGAATAACCATGGTTATTTTCACTTTGGGTTATATTGTGTTATTTAATCCCGCATTTTCCCTGGAACCTTTAATGCCCTCCCCTGCTACCGGACCAACTTTGGGGTTTCCACGCATTAAAAACCATTTATTTGCAATGTGGACAGTGACAGGAATCCAAGGATACCAAAATCGTCGATATCGGGGAGGTGAAGGTAATATAGAAAATTACCTAATTAAGTTAATTGTTGCTCAAGCAATAATGGGATATTATTAACTTGTTCCCGTTTACAAATATTAGCACAAAACAAAAAGGTGAAACCGAAGTCCCGCTAGTGACAGTTGTTCTGTTTCAAGCCATCGTTAATGTTTACATGATCCATGCAGATGAGTTTACAAACCTTAATAGCAAATAAAGTCAGGAAATAAGTGATTTAGTTTTACTTCACATAATATACAAGGTGGAATTGTACTTATGTCAAACCGTTAATGATTTTCACTAATACAGCAGTTATTGTAATATTAGGCTAGAAGACTTGTTACACGCATTTTATTAATATATTTATATTCCATGCAATATGTGTAATCTCCCAGTTCTCGTTAAAACCAGTTTAAAACGGACTAACGTTCTGTTGTTGCAGCTCTGTTATTATACTTGACCGCCATATGTCCTCGATTTGTTAGTATTCCGTTAGATATGTGATTTCCATAACTGTGTGCCGGCTTTCTATATATCAATATTTTACATGTAGACGACGTCACACAGTGGACAGACACACTGAATGTAGTTTGTGGCCAAGTGCAAAGATTTCAGAAGAAATGGGGGTAAAATTTCAGATTCTGCCAGCCTCCTCCTTTCGAAACGATTGTTTTTGGAATGGATAATTCCTTCGCTGTTTAGCGCTGTAATGCTATTGTTCTCCGTCGCATCTGACTGCTTAAGCAGTGACGTAACTTGTACTTCTCGACGTCAGAGTTGCTTAAGCGAAGGATTTGCAATATGTTTGGGAAAAAATTTCCATGATTT